AAAAAAAAAAAAAAAAAAAAGAAAAAAAAAAAGAAAAAAAGCAAAACAATCTTAACAATCTAACAGGGGAGTTAAGTAAACTCTCCGTAAATACAGTGTTAGGACACTCCACATTAAGGGCTAATGATAAAGGGAAATGGGAGTACACAGGAAAACCTTCTGACCCAAACTGTGGTAAGGGACAGTCAGAGAAGGCTTTCCAGGCCAGGCGCAGTGACTCACACCTGTAATCCCAGCACTTTTGGAGGCAGAGGCAGGGATCACCTAGGTCAGACGTTCGAGATCAGCCTGGCCAAAATAGTGAAACAACTTCTCTACTAAAAATACAAAAATTAGCCAGATATGGTAATTAATCCATTCATGTATTAATGGGTTATCATAGAGTAGAACTGGTGACTTTATAAGAGGAGGGAGAAACCTGAGCTAGCATGCTCAGCCCCCTCACCATGTGATATCCTATACTGCCTTGGGACTCTTCAGAGAGTCCCCACCAGCAGGAAGGCCCTCACCAGATGTAGTCTCTCAACCTTGGACTTCTCAGCCTCCGTAATTGTAAGGAATAAATTCCTTTTTAAAAACAAATTACCTAGTTTAGGGTATTCTGTTATAAACAACAGAATACAGACTAATACAGGTGGTTTCAGGAAGTAGGGAGAGGACAACAATATCAAATGCTATCCAGATGTCACTAAAGTAGGGACTGAAAAGTACTGTGTGATCAACAAATAAGTCATTGGAAATTTTACGAGAGCACTTTCAGGACAGTAGCAAAGTTAATTAGATAATAGTAGGATAAGGAGTACGAGGTTAGGAAATACAGTGGAATGCTTTAAGGACCTTTACTAACATATTGTTGTCGATGAATTATGTAACCAACTTATATTCTGATTTTTAGTAAGTTCCTTCCTGGAGATTTAAGATGTAATTGACAGGACTTGATGATCAATCGATATTAAGCTACCTAACAAATTTACATCTTCATGTCACCCCCTGTTCCCCTTCTGGTAATAACAGCATCAAAAAATACATATATTTTAGTCTTTACAATGTTATCTGATAGCCCAAATTAATTTATAAGAAAAGCATTAAATTATTCCACAAAAATATTATTTATACACTTTGAGAATTCAGACTATTACTAGTTTCCTTTTTATTAGGGAACAGGTAATGATGGAATGTGAATGTGGCTTCTGAGTAGGTGACCATATGTCTATATTTGCCTGGGACTACTTGGGTATGATCCTATTTTTCCTCCTACAGCATTGCCTTCTCTTCAAAAGTGTTCTGGCTTGCACACTAAAGCATATGGTCACCTTACTTATAAGCCTCTTTCAAGGAACTATTATCTCATTATTGCTGTAAAGACTAAACCATAGAATACCAAAGAGACTCTTTAGAAAATGCTTAACTACATAAGAATTACTACACTGTAGTTACTTAAGGGAAAAATAGATCGAAATATACAAACCTTTTGGAGATATGGCCATATGGACATTATCACTATAGAAAACCCTGTGAAGAGGCAAACTAGGTTATTTGTACTTATAATAATTTAATCACTATTACAGATACAATTTTCTGAACTGTGGTATGGATTTTAAAATATCATTCTGAACCTAAAATTTACACACACAAATGCCTAAATTATCAAGCAATAAGATTTTAATTATCAGAAAGAAAATAAATACTAAGAGAACATACAATTACAGTCCCTCATCATAATTGATAATGAATGCAAAAAAACAGAGGATCTATTTCTCCATACTCATGTGCTTTACTGTAAATGGAAATAACGAAAAGCTTTAAGTTTTTACAGCAGAAATGGGGGAAAGGCTACTTTGTTGGACAGGAAGTGCTAGGCTTCTATCCTGTGCTGTTTGGAGAAGGTAAGTGACTGAAGGGAAGACTAGGAATAAGGAAAATGATCATCTACATGGGGGTTATAGAAAACCAGGATACTTCAAGACGGCTATACCTTAAAAGAAAATTCATTATTTCTGCTACTCTTTACTGCCTGAAAACTGTAATGATTCATTACAACACTATCTGTCAATTTTTATTTATTTATTTACTTTTCACAGCTTCCTCAGTTTGAATTTTTCTTCTTTTTTTTTTTTAATCTGTCAATTTTAAATGGTAGGCAGATGCAGCCAGATGCAGTGACTCACCCCTGCAATACCAGCAAGGTGAGGCAGGCAGATCACCTGAAGTCAGGAATTCGAGACCAGCCTAGCCAACATAGTGAAACCCTGTCTCTACTAAAATATAAAAATGAGCCAGGCATGGTGGCACATGCCTGTAATCCCAGCTGCTCAAGAGGCTGAGGCAGAAGAATTGCTTGAACCCAGGAAACGGAGTAACTTGCATGAGCCAAGATCACAACACTGCACTCCAGCCTGGATGATAGAACGAGACTCCATCTCAATAAAATAAAAAATGAAAAATAAATAAATGTTAGGCAAATCCATTAGGAAATTCTATAAAGCCTGTTCTTAAAAATGGCTTTATTGAGGCTAGACACAGAAGCTCATGCCTGTAATCCCAGAACTTCAGGAGGCCGAGGTGGATAAATCACTTGAGGTCAGGGGTTTGAGACCAGCCTGGCCAACATGGTGAAACCCCATCTCTACAAAAAAAATACAAAAATTAGCTGGGCATGGTAGCACATGCATTGTACTCCCAACCACTCGGGAGGCTGAGGCAGGAGAATCACTTGAACCTGGAGATGGAGGTTGTAGTCATTTTTGTCATTGGTTCTGTTTATGTGATGGATTAGGTTTATTGATTTGTGTATGTTGAACCAGCCTTGTATCCTAGGGATGAAGCCGAATTGATCGTGGTGGATAAGCTTTTTGATGTGCCGCTGGATTTGGTTTGCCAGTATTTTACTGAGGATTTTCACATTGATGTTCATCAGGGTTATTGGCTTGAAACTTTCTATTTTTGTTGTGTCTCTGCCAGGTTTTGGTATCAGGATGATGCTTGCCTCATAACATGAGTTAGGGAGGATTCCCTCTATTTCTATTGCATGGAATAGTTTCAGAAGGAATGTTACCAGCTCCTCTCTGTACCTCTAGTAGAATTCGGCTGTCAATCTATCTGGTCCTGGGTTTTTATTGGGTAGTAGGCTATTAATTCCTGCCTCAATTTCAGAACTTCTTATTGGTCTATTCAGGGATTCGACTTTTTCCTAGTTCAGTCTTGAAAGGGTGTATGTTACCAAAAATTTATCTATTTCTTCTAGATCTCCTAGTTTATTCGCATAGAGATGTTCATAGTATTCTGTGATGGTAGTTTGTATTTCTGTGGAATCAGTGGTGATATCCCCTTTATCATTTTTTATTGAGTCTATTTCATTCTTCTCCCTTTTCTTCTTTATTAGTCTGGCTAGTGGTCTATTTCATTGATCTTTTCAAAAAACCAGCTCCTGGATTCATTGATTTTTTTGAAGGTTTTTTTTGTGTCTCTGTCTCCTTCAGTTATGCTCTGCTCTTAATTATTTCTTGTCTTCTGCTAGCTTTTGATTTTGTTTGCTCTTGCTTCTCTAGTTCTTTTAATTGTGATGTTAGGATGTTGATTTTAGATCTTTCCTGCTTTCTCTTGTGGGCATTTAGTGCTATAAATTTCCCTCTACACACTGCTTTAAATGTGTCCCAGAGATTCTGGTACATTGTGTCTTCATTCTCACTGGTTTCAAAGAACATCTTTATTTCTGCCTTCATTTCATTATTTATCCAGGAGTCATTCAGAAGCAGGTTGTTCAGTTTAGTCTGAGAGACTGTTTGATATGATTTCCATTCTTTTGCATTTGCTGAGGAGTGTATTACTTCCAATTATGTGGTCAATTTTAGAATAAGTGCAATGTGGTGCTGAGAAGAATGTATATTCTGTTGATTTGGGGTGGAGAGTTCTGTAAATGTCTGCTAAGTCCACTTGGTCCAGAGCTGAGTTCAAGTCCTGGATATCCTTGTTAATTTTCTGTCTTGTTGATCTAATATTGATAATGGTGTGTTAAAGTCTCTGACTATTATTGTGTGAGTCTACATCTCTTTGTAGGTCTTTCAGAATTGCTCTTGGATTGGGTACGTATATATTTAGGATAGTTAGTTCTTGTTTCACTGTTCCCTTTACCATTATATAATGCCCTTGTCTCTTTTGATCTTTGTTAGTTTAAAGTGCCTTTTATCAAGTCTAGGATTACAACCCCTGCTTTTTTTTTTTCTTCCTTTCCATTTGCTTGGTAAATATTCCTCCATTACTTTATTTTGAGCCTATGTGTGTCTTTGCATGTGAGATGGGTCTTCTGAATACAGCACACTAATGGATCTTGACTCTTTATGCAATTTGCCAGTCTGTGTCTTTTAATGGGGCATTTCGTCCATTTACATCTAAGGTTAATATTGTTATGTATGAATTTGATCCTATCACTATGATTCTAGTTGGTCATTTTGCCCATTAGTTGATGCAGATTCTTTATAGCGCTGTTGGTCTTTACAAAGCGCTGTTGCTCTTTATGTTTTTGCAGTGGCTGGTACCAGTTGTTCCTTACCATGTTTAGTGCTTGCTTAAGGAGCTCTTGTAAGGCAGGCCCGGTGGTGACAAAATCTCTCAGCATTTGCTTGTCTGTAAAGGATTTTATTTCTCCTTCACTTACGAAGTTTAGCTTGGCGGGATATGAAATTCTGGGTTGCGGCCGGGCGCGGTGGCTCAAGCCTGTAATCCCAGCACTTTGGGAGGCCGAGGCGGGTGAATCACGAGGTCAAGAGATCGAGACCATCCTGGTCAACATGGTGAAACCCTGTCTCTACTAAAAATACAAAAAAAAAAAAAAAAAAAGAAATTCTGGGTTGAAAATTCTTTTAAGAATGTTGAGGTGAAGGGGAGGAAGGCAGCAAATCACGCTGCCATGTGTGTACCTATGCAACAATCTTGCATGTTTTTCACATGTACCCCAAAACCTAAAATGCAATAAAAAAAAAAAGAATGTTGAATATTGACCCCCCACTTTCTTATGGCTTGTAGGGTTTCTGCAGAGAGATCCTTTGTTAGTTTGATGGACTTCCCTTTGTAGGTACCCCACCTTTCTATCTATCTGCCCTTAACATTTTTTCCTTCATTTCAACCTTGGTGAATCTGACCATTATGTGTCTTGGAGTTGCTCTTCTCAAGGAGTGTCTTTGTGGTGTTCTCTTTATTTCCTGAATTTGAATGTTAGTCTCCCTTGCTAGGTTGGGAAGTTCTCCTGGATAATATCCTGAAGAGTGCTTTCCAATGTGGTTCCATTTTCCCCATCACTTTCAGGTACACCAATCAAATGTACATTTGGTCTTTTCACATAGTCGCATATTTCTTGGAGGCTTTGTTCATTTTTCACTCTTTTTTCTCTAATCTTGTCTGCTCACTTTATTTCATTTAGTTGATCTTCAATCTCTGATATCCTTTCTTCGGCTTGATCTATTTGGCTATTGATACTTGCATATGCTTCTCGAAGTTCTCATGCTGTTTTTTTCAGCTCCATTAGGTTATTTATGTGCTTCTCTAAACTGGTTATTCTAGTTATTCTAGTTAGCAATTCGTCTAACCTTTTTTCAAGGTTCTTAGCTTCCTTGCATTGGGTTAGAACATGCTCCTTTAGCTTGGAGGAGTTTATTATTACCCACCTTCTGAAGCCTACTTCTGTAAATTCATCAAACTCATTCTCCATCCAATTTTGTTCCCTTGCTGGTAAGGAGTTGTGATCCTTTGGAGGAAAGGAGGCATTCTGGTTTTTGGAATTTTCAGACTTTTTATGCTGGTTTCTCCCCATCTTCGTGGATTTATCTACCTTTGGTCTTTGATGGTGGTGACCTTTCAATGGGGTATCTGAGTGGACGTCCTTTTTGTTGATGTTGATATTCCTTTCTGTTTGTTAGTTTTCCTTTTAGCAGGCCCCTCTGCTGCAGGTCTGCTGGAGTTTGTTGGAGGTCCACTCCAGACCCTGTTTGCCTGGGTATCACCAGTGGAGGCTGGAGAACAGCAAAGACTGCTGGCTGTTCCTTCCTCTGGAAGCTTCATTCATTCCAGAGGAGCAGCCACCAGATGCCAGCCAGAGATCTCCTGTATGAGGTGTCTCTTGGCCCCTACTGGGAAGTGTCTCTTAGGATACACACGGTTCAGGGACCCACTTGAGGAGGCTGTCTGTCCTTTACCAGAGCTCAAATGCTATGCTGGGAGATCCACTGCTCCCTTCAGAGCTGTCAGGTAGGGACGTTTAAGTCTGCTGAAGCTGTGCCCACAGCCACCCCTTTCCCTTGGTGCCCCATCTCAGGGACATGGGGGTTTTATCTATAAGTCCCTGACTGGGGCTGCTGCCTGTTTTTTGGAAATGCCCTGCCCAGAGAAGAGGAATCTAGAGAGGCAATCTGGCTGCAGTGGCCTTGCTGAGCTGCAGTAGGCTCTGCCCAGTTGGAACTTCCCAGTGGCTCTGTTTACACTGTAAGGGTAAAACTGCCTACTCAAGCCTCAGCAAAGGC